TGTGGGGCTATTTCTGAATCTCTGTTCTTTTAGAATAAATCTTAGAATAATCTTGCCAATATCTACAAAAGAAACCTTTCTGGGATTTCAATAGGAATTGTGTTAAATCTGTATATGAATTTGGAGAGAACTGACATATTTACTATATTGAGTCTTCCAACCCATGAACATAATATGTCTCTCCACTAATTTATTTAGATTTACTTTGATTTCTTTCATTACTCCTGTGTAGTTTTCACCATACAAGTCCTGTATACGTTATATTGGATTTACACTTAAACATTTAATTTTTTGAGTGATCATTAATGGTATTATATTATTAACTTTTTCATTTATGTATTCATTTCTAGTACCGTGTTTCCCCTAAAATAAGACCTACCCATAAAATAAATCCTAGCAGGATTTCTAAGCATTTGCGCAATATAAGCTCTACCCCGAAAATAAGACCTAGTGATGGGCATGGCTACGCAGTGTAGCTGCACAATCCATGCATTTTGTTGCAGAGCGGTAAAGAAGACAAGCAGCCCTTCTCATCTGCCCCATCATGACAGCTACTATCCCAGAGGTGACTGGAAAGGTGGGGCAGCCCCACCAACAATGTCAGCTCCCCCTGTCAGGTCCTGGCCATCCTGTGCATGCTGCAAGCTGAGGCTTTGAGGGGAAAATAACACATCCCCTCAAAATAAGCCCTAGGGTGTCTTCTTGAGGAAAAATAAATATAAGGTCTTGTCTTATTTTGGGGGAAACACATTATATAAACTAAAATTGACCTTTATATCTGTTAGCTTACTGAACTCACTTATTAGTTCCAGGAGTTTGTTATAGATTCCTGGCAGTTTTCTATGTAGACAATCAATGTCATCTGAAAATAGGGACAGTGGTATTTCCTTTTTTCAATCCTTATTGCTTTGCTTACTTTCTTATACTGGCTAGAACTTACTTCCAACACTATGTTAAGTTATAGTGGTGAGCGTGAACATCCTTGCCTTGTTACCTATCTTGGAGGAAAACCACTTAGTCTTTCAAAATTAAGTATAAAGTTAGCTGTAGTGAGTTTTGTTGTTGTTTGTTTTATAGATGGCCATTATCATGTTGAGAAAGTTTCACTATTTACTTATTTTTGGAGAGTTTTTATCATGAACGGGTATTGAATTTTGTCTAATTATCTGTGTTGAAAGCCTGTTAATTATGGCAGTTAACAATGATTTTCGCATATTGAAAAATTTAGAATCCCTGGAATAAACATCACTTGGTAATGATATATAATTCATTTTATATATAGCTAAATTTTGTTTGCAAATAATTTTAAAGATATTACGTCTATTTTCATGAGGAATGTTGGTCTGTAGTTTTCTTTCTTTTTCTTTTTTTTAAAAAATACTGCCATTATTTGGTTTTGGTATCAGGGTAATACTAGCTTCATAAGATAAATTGGAAAGTATTTCTACCTTTTTCCTATTTTCTGGAAGAGATTGTATAGAATAGGTGTTAATTCCTTTTTCAATTTTGATTGAATTCTGCAGTTAAACTATCTAGGCATGAAAGTTACTTTGTGGGGAGTTTTTAAATATGAAACTGTATTTCCATTTTGGTTATAGGGCTCTCGGAGGGGAAAAAACCCCAAACCGTTTTTCCTCTGCTCTCACACTGGAACCGCAATCAACATGGAAGACTTCAATGACTGTATGTGGGGAGAGGGTTCTCCGCACACCAAGCAAGCAATCAGTTCCACAGCAGACACCAGCTGGATGTCCTCGAATGCTATTCTGACACTATCTACGTAGAAATAGCGTCAGATCCCACAGGTTCCGAGGGTTCAGCGCCAAAGACTGATTCCCTCACTTCCAGTTCCAATCAGAAGGCCCAGGTTGTTTTACCTGTGCTCCTGATCAACTGGCTATAAATCAGGGATCCTAAGACCTCCTCCTTAGGTTAGATTTATTTGTTTAGAGCAGCTCACAGAATCCTGGGAAACTTACGCTTACTGGTGTTATGACAAAAGACTGTGACAAGGGCTATGGGAATTATGAGCCAGGAACCATGAATGAAAACATATATATATGCATATATATGTATATATATACGACATAATACTGCTTTAGTTGTGTCACAAATTTTAATGTGTTGTTTCTAATTTTCATACATTAATAGTTCCATGTATTGTTTATCTCCCTTAGACTTCATCTTTGACTCATGGATTATTTAGAAGTATGCTGTTTAGTTTCCAAGTGTTTGGAGATTTTTCTTTTATCTTTCTGTTATTGATTTCTGGTTTGATTTCATTGTGGTCAGAGAACACACTCTATATGATTTCAATTCTGTTAAATTTGCTAAGGTCCATTTTATGGGCCAGGTATTTCTGGGAGGCCAGCATCTTCTGCTCCAAGTCTGGGATATGAGAAGCAAAAGGAAAACCAAGGGCACTTACTATTTACTGTGTGGCTCCCCAGGTCCTGAGGTCCCTATTCCTTCTGTCCTTTTCTACTCCAACTTCCCAGAAGTGGAGGCCTAGTTTTTATCCACCACTACTGCTGATTCTTATTATGTTTTTATATCTTACTGTCTAGTATGAGCACTGAAATTGATTAAGAAAAGAGAAGCGTTTGTGAAATCATCAAATCAGTCCTTTTAAGGATCTGTGTTATACTGCACCAAAGGTGAAGAGATATCATTAGATTGGTCTACTGCTTTTTCCCCAACTTCCCTGAATTCTCTATTGCCTTTCATCCTCTCCTTAGAAATTCTGCCAACTCTGCTATTCTCCCTCAGACATTTTTGTCAATGGTATTTGGCTAGATATTTGTCAATGGTATTTGGCTAGCTAGAGGAGGTAAAATATGTGTATGTGTGCTACCTCATATCACTTAGTAAATTCTTACATAAATACCATATTCAATAATAAGGAACTAACTGGAAAAATTCAAACCCTATCACATCATAAGAAAATATAAGTTAACAGAAAATTACAGAATAGGTTAAGAACTTCTAGAAGTATAAGTGATTGAGAAAAATCATAATGATAAATACAGATAAATGTTACTAGTATTAAAAATATCTCTGCTTTCTATAAAAGGAGCATACAGTATTAAAAGCAAATGCCCACTAGGAGCATAAAAATAATTATGAGGTCAGCAAGATTTGGACAGACAATTCACAAAAGAAGAAGTATGCATAGCTAATCACTAAATGATTGAACTCTAAAAATTTAAAAATAGAAATTAAAACTGATTATTCAGACACAAACCACTAAATATTCATGGGGCCACATACACATTGTATATCAGACTATAACTTAAATTCAGCCACATTTGATAGAAAAAACTTTTACAACAGTGATAACTTCCTTTAGGACAAGAAATAGCTATTTAGTTCTCATTGCTGGGGACACTCACTAGCTGTAAGTCAAGGGGAAATAATGTCACCAAGGTTCAGTTTCTTCATCTATAAAAGAATAATATCCATTTTGTCTGGTTATTATAAAAATTAAATGAAAAATATATAAAAGAAGTTCAAATATTTCCTGCCATGGAGTAACTACTAAATAATTAATGGCAAAATTATTCTTTATAGTTTATTATTTGTTATGAAATAGAAGTTTTGTGGAAAGAAAATACAGAAATGTGCATTTGGGTTCTACTAATATCCCTATAATAGATTTAATATCTGCATCTTGGAACATCCCATTTTAATGATAATTACACTTAAAAACATGCTCTGTAACTAGGAACATATCTATATTATTTTGTTCATAACTCTTCAGTAATTAAGAAGAAATAGACACAAGTAGCAATTTAAAATACTATCATTTGAAAGACTTAGGAGAGTCTAAAGTGGTGTCAACAGCCTGAATCTAGTTCCGTTTTGTCTGGACTTCCTAGTTTTGTTTAGGGTAACTAGTGACTGAATCATAGGCATTAAAATAATTAGATTACAATATAATGAAGTAAATTGCTATGAAGCATAAGAAAAGCTGATGACATCAGTCTCAAAACATCCCCTAAAAGTCAAAAATGCTGCATTCATTGTTATCTGTCTCCAGGGAGAATCAACAACCCTAATGACAGCTGGGTTTCTTTCCAGCCAGTGAATTTTGGACCGGGTTGAGAGTTTTTTCTTTGAATGGTTCACAGCCCCAATTAGGAACAAAATTAGCCACTATCATAGGATGGATGATTCTTTTCACAGAAGACTTCTTCTGGGTATATTTGAATTGCAAATGTCAAAACCCCTAAAGAAAATGAAGGCAAACTAATAAGCAAATAGTGCAAGTTTTCTTAAGAGCAGCAGTAATTCATTATCAAACAATTAGCTTTGTCATAAGCTCTCGATTCTTAGTTTAGAATATTTCCTTCTATATTGGAAATAAAATTATGATAAAGGCTGAGGACACAGTACCATACTCAAATGTAAACCATTTACAAACAATTTGTCTTTAATGACAGACAGGAGAGCACCTAATTACACTCAGCATTTCAAGAAACGCTGACTATTTGCCAAATAACACTCCATTTGATTGCCTTGAAAGTGCAGCCCAGGGTTGTTAAAGGGAAAATAGGACTTTTGGCTCCAGGTAATTAACTTTCCCCAGCTTTTCCTTTCTTAGGTCTTAATGAAGGTCTTTTGATGTCCTCATTATCAAGGGGTAGCTGTTGAGGCCAAAAAATTTTTTTAAAAATAAATACTAATACTGAGCCCCAAACCCTTCAAGTAACTTTTTTTCTTTATCATCCTATATAAAAATCTTTTAAATGACTAATGATGTCCTGAAAAGTGCTCATGGACGGAAATGAGGCAAGTCATCAAGAGGTCTGGGGACAGGACTGCCAAAGAAAGGAAGGTGACACCCACCTAAAGGAGGATAAAGAGGAGTTATTTGAAATCTAGATCCGTTCAGCAAAGACTCCTTCTTCAAAGCCTTTCGAAAAAGTGTAAAGAAAAAAAAAAAGGTATGAAATGTAAAGGTAAGTGAAGAAAATGAAAGCATATTTTGAAATACATACACGATCACAGGAGTTCATTGTGGACTGTGAATGGGTCCATATTTAGTGGCATCTGCCTTGAAATAGGAATGAGGCCGAAATCAGTCACAGAGTTGGTGTGCTCCATTTGTCTCGGAGATCACTAGGTATATTTCTAGCACTTCTTTTTCTCCCGAGAGTCTAGCATTTATAGCATCTATTCAAAGAAAGTCACAAGTACAGCATTTCATGAGCCCTTGATAAGCTATCTGAATCACGCGCCATTGTGCCACGGATTTCCTCAAGCTCTTTCCTTTATTAAGGTGTGTGAAGACTGAATTACTGATTTGCCTTTGTTGAGTCGCACCTGTCCAGTTGCTACAGTGTCCGATTTGAAACGAGTTTGCTTAAAGCTGGTAATGAGCTCTCTGATTCTGACAGATTTGGGGATCTCATATTCTTATATCTTTTCCTGAACATTCAGAAAAGAAGAGAACTAAGGTTATGGAAATATACCCTATGTGCTGCAATATCATTTTCTCACTCTTCCCTCCCAGCATTTGTGAGGATGAAGGATCATTTTAATTAGATAGACCCTTCTTGATGTCAATTCCTCCTAGTGTAGACTTGGTATTCCATCACCTAAACCACTATCCCAACAGGGACTTTGGCCCCTGGTGCAAATATTCTTCCACAAAATCACCAGGTGAAATTTTAGAATTTCAAACACATCAAACTGTAGAATGATGTGACCATTTGCTTTCTCCAATGCCTTACTCTATAGCTTGATGGTCTGAATACTTGTTCCCTCCAAAACTCATGTTAAAACTTACTCCCCAATGTGGCAGTATTGAGAGGTAGGGCCTTTAAGAGGTGATTGGGTGATGAAAGCAGAGCCCTCATGAATGGATTAATCCACTCAAAGATTAATGGATTATTGAGTCATCCTGAGAGTGGGACTGGTGGCTTTATAAGAAGAGGAGGAGAGACCTGAGCCAGGACACTGAACCCCTTCATGATGTGGTGCCCTGCGCTGCCTTGGGACTCTACAGAGTCCCCACCAGCAAGAAGGCCCTCACCAGATGTTTGGACTTCAACTTTGGACTTCCCAGCCTCCATAAATGTAATAAATAAACAAATAACTTACTTTTCTGTATAAATTACCCAGTTTGGGTTATTTAGTTATAAGCAACAGAAAATGGACTAATACATCCCATCTATGGTCTATTCAAACGATATCTCATAAAACTTGCTGAAGACTTGCTTCTCTCCTCACCACATAAACAGTCTACAGTCTCTGCCACTTCTAATGGATCTTCTTCAGTCTCCTCTAGCCATCATCCAATCTCTCTTTCCCTGAAAAGCCTACACTTCAGAGAGAGCTATACTCTCACATCCACTCACTGTCCCCAGTGCCGTTTAATTAGCCCACTCTGTATCTCACTTTAAAAGTGATTACAGCTAACATCATCTATGACCTCTCAGTTGCCAAATCCAATGGAGAGTTTTCATTCCTTACCTCAGCTGGCCTCTCGGTAACTCTGCAAATATCTCTTCTCCTGTGGGTTCCAAGATTCACCCTCTCCTTGCTTTCCTTCCTTGTAGGCAGCTCCATCTTGGTCTCCTCTTCCAGGCAGTTCTTCCTGCACTCATAGCTTGAATTCTGATGTTTCCTAAAATTTATCTGACTCTTATGTTAACCTCTTCTCTTTGGGATCTCCCATTTCCCCTGATGGCATCTGTATCTATGGTTGAAGCCAAGCCTCATTTTTGAGCTCCAGGTACAGGTTTTAAACTTGAATTACAGTCCCAGGAAATCTCTTTGTAGATATCTCAACCTCTCTCTCACTCTCTCCTACCTACACACACAAATATGCTCCTCCTTTATTACTCACCAGCCTGACACTGGCATCATTGTCCATCCATGAGATAGGCCAGATTATAAAGTCTGGAAATGGTTGAAACATTAGAGATGGTAATGGCTTGGCCTCGGCGCAAGTGTACTTTCCTCTGGTCTATTCATGAAGCAACAATAGGAGGTACAAAGGATGCAAGTGGTGGACGTGACTCTATTTCTTCCCTTTTCTCGAGAGAGGGAGTATTCAAAATTTGGTGTTCTTCACCACCTGTAGAGAAGGAGATTCTTTCAGGTCAGAGAATAACAGAGCTCTGGGCACACTAGCTTTTTACCTATTACTACTTTAGCATTCTGAAACAATTGTTATTAAATAATACCAGATAGGGCTACTGTGTTACCTAGGCTCCAAGCCTTCACATTCTTGCTGTGCTAGCACTTGAGTAATCTTCCTTGATCTATGCTTCTGCTACCAGGCCCGAGGTGTTTTCCATTATGTCCGTTGGGAGCTATTTGTGGGCAATCCTAGTCATGGCCCACCACAGTCCAATTACCCAAGTCAAAAAATTTGGAATTGTCCTTGCTGTCTTCCTCTCCTTTATCTCCTATACTCAACAAATGATCAAGTCCTGCCACTTCTACCCATTAAATATCTTTTACCTATTCATTCCTATTTCCAGTGCTATTGCAACCATCCCATCTCTCAGATTAACTACTGCAAAAGTCTTCAACCTGATCTCTTACCTCAAACTCTGTCGTGTCTCCAGTACATTCTGCATTATACTACCAGCATGAGCATCCTGAAATATAAATGTGATGCTGCCTCACTCCCTTTCAACATTCTTTAATGACTCCTCACAACTTTCAGGATAAACTCCAAGTTCCATAACACAGGAACGTAAGTTGGGTCCCACTGAGCTCTGACATCTCATGTATCATGTCTTCTCTCTGTTCTTCAAAGGACTTTCAAGTCCTCAAGCATGCACCATTTCCTGAAGCCTCCATGCCTTCTGACTGAAGTGTACAGAATGCTGTCCTTTTCACTCCCACCTTCTCCATGATGTTTGTGACATTTACTAGTCTGCCAAAACTCTGTTCAGGTCTGCCCTCATACCCTCTCTGCAAACCTTATAAATTCCATTTTCAGAGTGCATTCAGACTCCACCCATTTCCTTACCACCTCTTTTCTTACCAGCTAAGTTCAAATCACCATGACCTTTCAAATAGATTACTACAATATTCATCTAGCTAGTCAGTTGACTTCTACTCTTACTCACCCCATAGTGTATTTCCTTTCTGTTTCCTTTGTATTTTATAGAAAGACCTTTGAAATTCTGTGTCAGATCATATTACTTCTCTACTTACAACCCATCAATGGGCCAACTCAGAGGAAGAGCCAAATTCTTATAATGGCCTCCAGAGCACACATGAGCAAGTCCCTAATTACCTCTCTAGTCTCATGTCACATTTTTCATCCCCATCGTACATTACTGAAGCAATACTGGCTCCTTTGCTATTCCAGCAACACACTTCCCCTTGCCTAATCACTCTTCCCCGGATTGTATACACACATACACACACACATATATGTGAGATATATATATATATACATACATATATATGATACATATATGAATATCCTATATACGATGCATACATATATAGATGTATGTAACTATATTATAGGGAAGATAAAAAATTTCTCTTCTACCATGTTTGAGTCTCTGGGCCTAAGAATTAAACAAATATAAGATAGATTAACAGGATAAAAGCATATAGATTTTATTGTAAGTTTTAAATGTACATGGGAGCCTTCACAAAGAAAATGAAGACCCAAAAAAACAGTTGGAGCTGAAAGATTATATATATTAGATTGGACAAAAAGTAGTAAATTTTAAAACATGGCAAGACAAAGGGGCTTGGGCTAGGACATTTAACTGTGAAAAGGGGACCAGGCACAGAAGGGTTAGTTTGACAAGTTTAGTTTACACAGTTTTCCTCAGCCTCAACTCCCCATCTCCGGTGATAAGAATGCCTTCCTTCCTCTTGAAACAAGCACAGCATCCTTCACATGAAAGTTTTATCTCCTGTTTTCAGGAAAAAATGGGAGGGCAGAATGCCCTCCTTGCATCTGCTGTTTTTCAAATGCCTTTAACTCAAAATAACCAATATGCCAAGTATCATATTTTGGATGGCCTACAATATACGTAGCTGTATAATGACACACACACACCAATATAGATAGATAGATAGATAGATAGATAGATAGATAGATAGATAGATAGATAGATAGATAGATAGATATGGCACATTCCTTCACTCCACTCAAATGCCACCTTATTAAAGATACCTCATCTGACGATCCTAACTAAAAGAGCAATGTCTTTCTAGTATTCTCCATCTTCTTATCCTGTTTCATTTTTTCTCATAGCATCATACAATCTGCCCTGTATTTTGGTTTTTATGCACTATTCTAATAGAATGTAATCTCCATAAGTAGAGACCTTGACAGTTTTGTTCATGGCTATATCCCTGAAACAGAGGATGATAAATAAATGAATGAATAGATGAATGGACAGATGAATCAACTATCTTCCATTTTTATTTCTCCCTCCACCATAAAATCCAAGGAAAAATGCACCAAAATATTATCACTATTTTTATGATTCTCTAAATTTTGAGAACTTTGGGAACAAAGGTCATTACATTCCATAAGATATATATATATGTATGTATATATCCATTCATTTGTTTGCTTGCTTCAAGGAGCTTACATTCCAGTTGGATGCCATGTTGAGAGACCATTAGCACTCTACAGCACCTTACAGAACAAAGGAAATCCTTAAATATTATATTTGCTTTTATTCTCTTGCTTAAATCAATTCCATCCCATTCCAACCCTGAGTAATAAAAACAAGACAGTTTATATACTAGGTATATTAGTTTCCTAGCACTGCCCTAACAAACCACCACAAACTGGGTGGCTATAGACAACAGAAATTTATTCTATCATAGTTCTGAAAGCTAGAAGTCCAAAGTCAAGGTGTTAACAGGGCCATGCTACCCCCAAATCCACTAGTGTCCATTTTCTTATCTCCTCCAGTTTCTGGCTGCTTTATATTCTTTGCCCTGTAGCAGCACAACTCCAATCTCTCTGCCTCTGTCTTCACATGGCTGTCACCCCGCAGCGGCTGTCTCTCACTTCTTATGATGACACCATCATATAGGATTAAGGGCTCGCCCTACTCCAGCGTGAACTTATTTTAACTAATTACAGCTATAACAACCTTATTTCAAAATATGGTCACATTCTGGGGTACAGGGAGTAAGGACATCAACATATTATTTTGGGGGAGACAATTCAATCCGCTCTAGGAAAACAAAACCTTGCACAGTTTCTGCCATGGAGGTTGCTCCTTTATTCATTGCACAGTCATTTATTCAGCAGCTCTTTTTGGTAGAAACAATACTAGACTCTGAGCGATAAAAATGAATTAAACCTAGTTCTTACCTGTAAAGAGATATAGAAACACATACTTAAAATACCACATTTATGTGTGACACTAGTGGCTTGCTCCAGAAACATAGATTAGGTGTGATTATTTTAGCCGGGGAGACCAGGAAAGGCATTGCAAAGGTAATTTTTGAACTTAATGTTAATGAAAATATAAGAGCTAAGCAGACACAAAGATTAGAGGAGACATTCCAGATACAAGTTTATCCAATACATATATATTATTAAACAGGTGCCTGTGTGCTAAACATATGAAAGAGTTAGGTGCTCGCACACCCATATCATTTGTGTTTGTTTCTGTGGGTGCAGACATTAAATGTTCCCATCTTGATAGAATATCAATTTAGTGAGGAAAACAAACAAAAAAATAGGTAATGATAATAGAATGTGACAGGCACTATGATAGAGCTATAAAAGAGCAAAAGAATAGAAATAATTAGGTTTGAATGCCATGTTAAGTGACATGGCAATATTATGAACTCTATTTTATGGGAAAATAAAATGATTATATATTTGGCTAAAACAAAAGAATCTTACAGAGCATCCTGTTACATATGAAAAATACTTCAGATGGTGCAATGTAAATCATTTTTTTCATCGTAAGTCCAGATTTTCATGCGTTCATATACATATGTCCTTTGCTAGGTGTTGTTTGGATGTTGTGCTTTTTATCATCATCCATAAATTAGTCACCCAGTTTCTAAAACAAACAGATGATAAGAAACAAGTAAATAAAGAAGGGATAAGAAACAAATAAATAAAGAAGGCCACATTTCTATCTTTCCCTTGGGTATTAAATGAAAAAAAATAAGGAAAGAAAGTAACAAATCAAAAATTCTTTGATTATATGAACTTGAATTTAAAGTTTTTCTATGAATTTGAATAATGTAATCTTTTTGAATTGCTGGGTTCTGTAGTTTGAAAAGATTTAGGAAAAAAATCTCCTTTGTATCAGAGACCACAATTTTTAACAAACACAACATTTTTTCTCATTTTTGTTTCAAGGGTGCCTTAGAAATAGTTTTATATAAACAAATATATGTGAGTATTATAAGAAATAAATTTATGCAAACATCTGTATATGTGATATAACTTTATCTTTATAAATATATATTATATTATACAATACATTGACCTCTCGAAACTGTAAAAAAATTAACAGAAGAAAATTTGCTAAAAGTATTAAGCATAAGCATTAAACTCTGTCAGGGAGAAAAACTTTTCCTCTGCCCTCTTAGGTTCTTTAATCAGGGGCCTGCGAATTAAACTGACAGCAGACAGATTAGCAAGAGTTTTAATCAAATATGTACATGAGGGAGTTCACAAAGAAATGTGACCCAAATTGGTGGTTAGAATTTGGGGCTTCTAAACCATCTTAATAGGTGAAGGAGAGGAGGAGAAAAGCATTTATAGGGGAAAAAAATGACTTCATAGAAGGTTGGGAGGTGAAAGAAAGGGCACAGTTATGGGGGGAAACAAGTGACTTTTTAGAAAGACAAATGGGCCCTTAGGAGAACAGATGGGAGAAGTGACAGTTTTGTGACAGTGTCTGTTTATGTGTGTTCCTGACTTCTCTTTGTCTCTGGTGGTAACAGTCAATCTTCCTTGTTGCTCTTTGGAAGGGGGGTTTATGACAACTGAATCTTTTGAGTTCTTTTGGGAGGTTTTGCTTTTAGACAGATAATGGATTTCAGGAACTCAAATGCCTTCAGCTCAAAATAATTTTTATGCCACAGTGAAATTCTGGATCCCTTTAA